TGTGGGAGTAGTGGCATAAGGAACCAAGGAAATAATTTTGGACATCAAACTACATTTATCAATTTTAGATCTGTTTGTTTTGGATTGAGGTTTGCATCTGTTTTTCCTTCATCCCCTTGTAAATGTAAGAAGAATATATATAGGAAATATGTACAGCTCATATCAGGAATACTCTTCTTGCTCCATAAAATTGTTTCTACTGCCTTCACAAATCCTATCTTGTGCTTCTGCAGACAGCTAGTCCAAACTTCCTCTATTTATGTTTTGCAAAGACTGTCAATAGAGCATGACTGCAACGCATGTTGGTTTAGATATATGTACTGCTATCCAAAGAAAACTGATCTGTTCCTGCCACATTCGTTTCCCTGCGGCTTTTGTCTTGAAAGAGCAGTAACAGCAGGAACCCTTTTCTATTTCTGATTCCTTAGGGCGTTGTTACATGGTACTTTTGGGTGGTTCCTGGAGCTCTTAACCCCTGGATGGCCATACATTAACGCCTTGAAGTGGTTTTAAATTCTTGTTATGGGGCACAAAGTTATGCCACTCCAGGGCAGAATTATCTCTGATCCACACAACACAGCTCCTGTTCCATTAAGACGTGGCCACTCCCCACAGATTTGCTATTGATCCTCCAGTATCCCAGGTTCTGTCACATCCCGCCATAGAGCTGGAATAGAAGCCTGTCCTGGCTCACCGGCCCTCTAGGGGCAACTCACAGCTATAGCTCCTAGTTCTCTGCCTATGCACCAGGCATCTAGTGGCAAGTCACAGCTGTGGCTTGGGGGATAGTCAGAGAAGGTTTCTAGACTAAAGGGGTGACAGCTCCAAACTCCAAGCTATCACTAATACTGCTCAACATTTGTGCAGCTTACAACATAAGGTATAACAAGGCCCTTAGTTTTTTTCTTTTTTAGGTGTCTCATCTAAAGCATTCCAAAAGAAGGTAACTGTAGGTGCATAGAAATCTCTGCATTATAGCAACAGGGCACATACTTTATTTGAATCTTGTCACCATTTTTCCAGAAGAAGAAAGAATATTATTTTTCCCTTTTAGGCTCTGCTTCAGGAAGACATCCTTGTATGAGTCTATCCATTTAGTCAGTTGGTCTTAAATGCTTGCTTAAATGCTTTTTGTAATTTAGCTGCTGCCTGTTACAAAGCTTCAAGGAGACTGGAATTTGGTGACCTCCAAGTAGGTAATTTCTTTCTTGATCGCCCACTGGAATTTCAAAGCTATCTTATAGATAAGTACAGTTTAGAGAAAAGAATATGCTGCATCAGAAATTGTAGATAAGAGTGTATTATGAAATCATCATATAGTTAATAACATTTAAATAAGATCGTTTTGAGGCAAGTCCTGCAGATGTAAGCTAGCGTTTAATGCAAAAAGCATTCCCACTATTTTCAATGTTACTATTCATTGTAGGAAGCACTTTGCATGGTGGTAAGTGTTTGCAAGATAGGGTCCTTAATTATTAATCCAAGAGTACAGAGATTGGGTCTAGTGAAGAATAAAGCTGTTAAACTGAATTGCATTTCCCATAACTATTTGGAAATGATTTAAAGTTTCTCCTATAACAGCTATAAATCTATCACAGTGGCTCTCAATTATTTATAAGTCTGTGAGACCACAGCTTGAGTGGTTTTTTTCATGTGGTTACACAGTGACACTTCCAAATATGACATTTCACATCTAGGAAAATTGTTATAAGGGAACAGAAAACCATAAAGTTTTCTAGCACTAGATTTAGCAAAATATTGAAAGGGGGCATCAATAAAATATTTGCTAATATTATCTTTCTTACTGTTTCTTCAACTAAGCTTCCTTAGATGAAACCTGAGGGCTTCTGTCCTCCAGTACAGGACTTTCATTATTACATGTCTAATTAAATCATCATTTAGCTGCACATCAGTTTGGCTTTACATATTCACTCATAATTCTGTAAAATAAATCAAAATACTCCAGAATGTGGAGGAACTATATAAATGAAAGTTCCCTGTACATATGACAGAATATTGACATTTATGCAGTTAGACAGTAATCAGTCCCACTTTATAAGCTGAGTTACTAATGAAAGATAAGCAAATGATAATTAGTGTTTAATAAATGACTAGTCAATTGTTATAGTTGGTTGTAGAGTCCAGCTGATCAAGAGGATCACTTATATCCATTTTAAAACATTTCTGTAACATACTTATAACAACTTTTAATCATTTCTTAAACCCTTAAAAATTAGTTATTTGTCATTAATATAAAGCATGACCTATATTAGTATTAATTAAAATAACAATATATCATAAACCATTTTTTACTATATAGCAAATCTTACACATGAAAAGTTTTTTAAGAAACCATCCAAAATTATTACCATATATGTACTTTACATAGTTATGATGCTTTGCCTTTGGGAGGCAGTTGTTCTTTGTCAATCCCTTAAGCACTTGCTGAAGTCAAGTTTCACCATATATTAAAGTAACATTCCTCTTAGCTTATACGTTTAATGTACGAAATAGATGGGACTATATTTTTAGAGCTTGTGGAGAATTTTCTTCAAAACATTGTTTTAACAGAAAATACAAGGAAATATCTTTTTTGCCAGTGATGTTTTTATTTTCTATAAGGAATACTGAAAAAACTGTTCCATTTCAGGTTGGTTTGACATTAATCTCTTCATCTGCCTGGGATGTCATGGTGTCCCCATAGGGGCTGTAGTTCCTCTGCCCCATGGCTTCTTTCTCTTCTAAGAACCAGGATCCATGACCAGTTTATATTTTCTAGGATGCCCTGTAGTTTTTGCATTGCAGAAACTCAGCCAAAGGGAAATACTATAGCGAGAGATAAATATAACTAGGAAGCCCTCTCCTGGAAAAGAATGAAGCACCTGAACTACGTCTTTCATAAGATATGACAACAGCTTGAGTGTCCATCAGGCTGTTCTGAAATGAGACCTGTTCTGAGATTTTTCTGAACCAAATGATTTAATTCCATTAAAAGTTTTGCTATTTTGAGTGTTCATCCCAAATGTTGAAGAATCTGAATTTCATGCATCATCTTTAATTATTACCATCAAGCCATATTTTGACATCTATAATCATATATAACAGCAACTTCTCAATGAAATTGCTCATGGAGTGAGGAACCTCTTTTCAGAAAACAGTGTCAGATCCATTATATGAATTTCTGCATTTAACCAATCAATACATTTGGGGTCTGGAAGGAATTTTACCCATGATCAGATTGGTACAGAATGTGGGGATTTTTGCCCTCTTCCTGGGATTTTTCAAGTGTATTTAACAACCTCTGCAGTGAGCAGGACATGAACCAACATTAACCCCCTACTTCACCTGTGAAGGTTAGGGTCCTATGCTTTGTAGCTGTGGGACAGGGTTGATTATGTCATTTTAGTAGTAAGTTAAACAAGGATTTGTATGGGATGCTGTGGAAAGGGATGATCCAGCCTCTCACAAGAGGTTGGACTAGATGATCTCTAGAGGTCCGTTCCAGGTCTAGTTTTCTATGATTCTGTAAAAAACAGTTTTCCAGGAACTGATGTGATTCTTGGAAGTACTGTCTTTTCTTAGGGGCAAATATTTGAGGATGGTTATTGGAAATGTAATAGATACAAGAAAGTCAGAGTGTTATTTCTAGTTTAACGAGTTCTTTCATTGCTAATATAAGGTCAGTGGATTTATATTTTTAACTTAAAAGTTTAGAGAAGAAGAAGGATTCAAGCTTCCTCTTCTGTTCTTTCTTTGTTCTATATTTTCTTTCAGGTAGGCAGTTCAAATCGGTTTAGCAGTTTTTATGCCTGATCTATCTTTATCTACTCTTTCTGTTTAGACAGTTAAATGTTAAATTGCTCTGCTACTAGTTAAAATAAACCAGAGACAGCATTTTCTTCTGAAAATGAACTTTCACAAAGGCCTGCCTCTAAAATTAATTGATATAATATTCTTTGATCTTTTAGATGTTGTTGATGTGTGTATCACTTATCAAATAATGATAGGTCATGGGACTAAATTCTGGCTTTCAGAACCAAAGCCTGACTGAGAAGAGTGTGAAAGTATAGTGCCCAAGGGAGGAGGCATTTTGCTGTCAAAGGGCACAAGGATGTGTCTAAGGCACAAACAAGAGGAAAACATGTAGAAAAAAGAACTGTGCACACGTCAACTAATGTTGAATCTCTGGATTTTAGCAGATCCTAACTGTATGCCCTTCCAACCAATTCATATCTGTTTGGAATACTGATCTCCTGTGGCAATGCTCAGCTCCACAGACATTCCCATTATGCCTGCCTGCACTCAGTTGCGCAAGAGTAAAAGAGTTTCCTTCTATCCCCTTCCACTGTGCTTCCCTCACACAAAGTTTCACAGCAGTTAATAAAGGTAAAGCCCCGTTATCTGTTCAAATATAGAATTGGTCCAGAAGTAAATAGTTTTCCAGGGTTCAGTGCAAATCCATTTTAATACTGAAGTGCTTGAGATTCTTTGATCTCCCTGTTTCACAGAACCAAAAAATTTTCCAACTCTCCATTCAAATTTTGTTCTGGTTCTTTATTCTTTCTCTTATTTGCATGTAGCATTTATTTAATTTCTTGACCTTTTGTCTGCACTTTCTAAATATTATGAACCATAAGGATTTCATGGGCACAAATGGAAAGATAGTCTTCTGCTCACAGGTCATAATCTGAGGCATGGGACAATAGGGTTTTTACCTAGAACTGCTACTGGTGTTCTGTATGTGATTTTGAATGAATAACTTTGCTTGTCTGTACATTCACTTATCCATCTTTAAAATGCAGAAGTCTTCTCCAGGAAAAAAATGTTAGTGCTTGCAAAGTGTATTGTTGGAGGTGAGTTAATACCTTGACAGGTATATAAATAGATACTGATTCAATTTGATAATAATTCTATTAATATTCCTATTTATTGGTGCTGTTTTTTCAAGGCTTATCTCAGAAAATTGCTTGTCTTTTTCCCTTCTATCATTTTTTTTCAAGATGTTGGAGCATTTTTTGAAGAGGGGATGTGGCTCAGGTACAGTTTTCCATCCCCAGGGACCACTGCAAAAGACTTAGCCAGTCGAACTCTGTTGAGCTCTACAGACCCTGAGGCTACTGTGCCAGACATCAGTTTGAATGCAGAGGAGCTAAGTTTCAGCTTCAGTACCACAAAATCCCCCTGTGTCCTCCTGTACATCAGTTCTTACACTCTGGACTACATGGCAGTGCTTGTCAAGCCATCTGGTAAGTAGTTGTTCTGGTTTTCACCGTTGAAGGGAGAAATATATAAAATATAGCACACAATCAGCAAAGCCATAAGCTAATAAGAATATCCCTTCATCCCTACAATTGCAAAGTATGTACAAGGCCCAGTTCTTTACACCAGCAAAACTTGGTGTAGCAAAATAGAAAGTCCGGCCCATAGGCTAGATTGGTAAGAAAAACGAAAGCAAATATAAACTACAGAGGTGATATCCCAAGATAAGGAAGAGGTCTTTAAAGTCCTGACTTTAGGTCAAAATGTGTTGTGCACAACATGTTTTTCTCTCCCCTTCACTTTTCATCATCAATTTCCCTAACAGGTCTGGTCCAACTCCCATTGCAGTTAATGAAAATAAAATTTGAACCAATAGCCACAAATAGAAATACCTAAAAATACTACATTATAGAAACATAATTAAAGAGAGGATTGTTGTAACAGCATCAATGTAGAAGCCAGAGTTTTTGGATTCTGTACCTGGCTCTGTCTCTGATTTGGTTAGTGACCTTGGGCAGGTCCCTAAATTTCATGTGCATCATGTTCCTTGCAGGAAACATGATGGTAATGTCCATCTCATAGAGGCAATTTGTGGTGGTTAATTGCTTATATGTTTATAGCTTTCTGATGCTCTCTGCTGTTGTTTACTTCTCTTCCCCTTAAAAAAAAATAGTTTGTTATATAATGCAAATGAATGCAGTGAAAAATAAAACTGAGCCTGCAAGCACTTGGCACATGAGTTTGCTCCTGTTGTAAATTTCAGCCTTGGGGCGCATGTATTATTGTATTTCCTTCTTTACAAATTAACTAATCAGTACTTATTAATACTTTCAAACAAAAGATTAAATTGAAATATAGGATTAGAACAATATCATCAAGATTTTCAAGCTAGGTTTTCCTAAAGTGAGACTTCTAAACTGACTGTTAGGGTGAAGTTGCATGTTCCACCTAGACCCTACTAAGGCTATTTAAACCATGAGCATCTGTATGCTAAAGCTCATTATCTCATGCTAAGTGCCTTCAAAGTGTCTCAGAATTAACTCTGAGCCATAATACCCACTCAATTTAAGACTAACTCCAGTCTGGTCCACAGAGATAAAACAAGCATTTAGCTGTCCACCAGCATCCTAAGATTCACCACTCGTAGCCCCTTTCCCCTCCCCAAGCAGAGCAAGGATAGAGCCCAGGTGTCATGGCTCCTAGCCATGCCCCTGCTTGCCAACCCTCAAGGCTAGGGACAGAAGTTACACATAAACTGGTTTAAGTGATCAGAAACTGGTTTAAACCTATAACAGAATTGAAATTCAGTGCACATAAACCAGTTTCAAAGTGGCTGAAACTGGTTTAAAATAAACCTGGTTGAATGTAGTATCAGATTTAACTGATTCATGTCAAACCAGTTTATGAAACTTCTGGCCCAGACCCCTTCCTGGTTCAAGTTAAATCCGAGTCCCTCAGCATCCCAGCATTTTGCAGCCCTGGGCTGGGCTATGCTGTCTGCTCCCGAGAGCATGGCTGGCCCCACCCCTCTGTTCCTTAGCTGAAGCAGTGAGGGCTGGCACACTGGCCTCACTGGCTGGCTCACTGCCCTGCCCCAGGCAAACCCCCGCTGGTGTCTGGGGCCATGGAGGCAGGGGTTAAACTTCTCTGCCCCCAAGTACGGAGCTTCCCTGCCCTGCTTACTTAGTGCTGGCTGCGACCGTGGACTACAAATCCCAGGGGCACCTGGAAGCAGGAAGAGGAAGTGATGAGCAACCCTGCAGAGTCCTGTCATTGTGAGTCTGGACTGCAAATCCCAGGGACCTTGGGGGCAGCAAGAAGAGGAAGAAAACATACAGCCCATGCTGGCTATATGCCAGAGAGCTATGGCCTAGGGCCCCCCCGGCTTCTGGCTTGAGCCACTGCAGGCATGTGGCTGCATTTCCTGAAACAGAAGTGAATGTCTGTTCACTTGCTTATTGGTTAAATCTTTGCAGCTTAGACTAACCTGCAAAGACTGAATTAATTCAGCCTTGGGATTTTGCACTGTCTGTACTCAGCCCTAGTGGCACATATGAGCTGTTGAGGCAAGAAACAGTATTAACCCTTAATGTGTGACTGCTCACAGCATGTTCTAACTTTAACACTGCTTAACATTTCACAGATTTAGTATGGCCTAAGTATAATGTGTAACTTCACCATTAGGCACCTAAATATGTTGCCTAATTGTCGAAATTGTTAAGCTTCCAGCATCATCAG